TACCAAAATCCTAGCTGTAATAGCTGCCCATCTCAGGCTGATGCCGGTTCGCGTACAGTTTTATCTGGACGACATCTTGATTCAGTCCAGATCTCAGGAACAAGCAAGGGCAGATCTCAAGACCACGATCCGAACCCTACAGGGGCACGGATTCTCGGTCAATCTAAACAAGAGCCACCTCATTCCCTCAAGGAGACTGCAACACCTGGGCGCGGTGATAGACACGTCACAGTGCAGGGTATTCCTTTCCCAGGAGCGACTGATCAGCATATCCAAGCTAATCCACCAAATTCAAAAGATCAGGAGAGTGCCCTTGCTACAACTCTCGAAGCTCCTGGGGAAGATGATATCTTGCATGGGCATCATCCCATGGGCAAGGCTCCACTCGAGGGAGTTGCAGTGGTTCCTCCTACCCTACCAGAGGAGGAACCTCAGCACCTCCAACAGGAGTGTGCTGGTACCAGCACAGGTGATGAAATCACTAAAATGGTGGCTATCCCCCATGACACTCAAGGGGAGCATATTCAGGGAACCGAACAGGGTCACGCTCACGACAGATGCGAGCCTGTTCGGATGGGGAGCCCATCTGGGGACCCAGATAGCACAGGGCCAGTGGGGTCAGAAGGACCTGTCACACAGCATCAACTGGCTAGAGCTCCGGGCCATACACCTGGCCCTCATCATTTCTCACACCTAGTAACGAGGAGGCACGTCCTCGTGCTTACAGACAATGTAGCAGCCAAGGCGCATGTAAACAAGGAGGGAGGAACGAAATCAGTGGAACTAATGAAGGAAGCATTGGCTCTGGCTCGGTGGGCAGAAGCCAATGTGAGTTCCATCAGAGCGGAACACATCTCAGGGGAGACAAACACCAGGCAGACTCCCTGAGCAGAGCCAAGGTGGACCAGTCGGAATGGCGTCTGGACCCGGCTCTCTTCGAGGAGATCTCCCGGAGGTTCGGACAACCGCACCTAGATCTATTTGCCAACCACAAGAACACACAACTCCCCAGGTTCTTCTCCAGATTCCCGTCCCCGGGATCGGAGGGAACGGATGCTCTCAGGTGCCGGTGGCCGGCGCAACTCCTGTACGCCTTCCCACCGCTGCCATTAATACCGGCAACCATACGCAAGATGATCCTGGAGGGCGCAGAAATGGTCTGCATTGCCCCTCACTGGCCACGGCGCCCGTGGTTTGCCGACCTCGTGGACCTTTCGATATCACCTCCGTGGAGGATCCCCCGGACAAGGTAAAACTCAGTCAGGGCAAGCTTGTACACCCAGATCCCCAGTGGCTACAACTAGCCGCTTGGCATTTGAGCGGCAAAGCTTAACTAAACAATCTTATTCTGCAGGGGTGATATCGATCATACAGGCATCACGAAGAGCGTCCACTAATAGGATTTATGACGCTACGTGGAAGGGATTTTGTAGGTGGTGCGCTTCGCTTCACCTAGACCCGACCGCAGTATCTATTCCCAATATCCTAGATTACCTACTGGAGGGTCTTAATAAGGGCCTGTCAGTCAATACTATCCGCAGACAGATATCGGCCCTCTCAACTGTACTCTCCTGCGACAACTTAACTTCCCTAGCACAGCATCCAGCTATTAATGCCTTTTTAAAAGGGGCATCTAACACAAAGCCCCCAGTCATACACAGGTACCCGTCCTGGAACCTGCCTAAGGTCCTTCTAGCCTTGACATCAGCACCCTTCGAACCTCTTGAAACATGCTCACTCCATCACCTATCACTGAAGGTAGCTTTCCTTGTGGCAATTACTTCAGCAAGGAGAATCTCAGAACTAGCAGCACTGTCAGTAAGGAAGGATCTGTGTACCTTTTTCAAAGACAGGGTCGTTCTTAGACCAGACCCGACCTTCATTCCGAAGGTAAATAGCATCTTTCACAGATCTCAGGAACTTTCGCTTCCTGATTTCTGTCCAAGACCCAAACATAGACTAGAACACAGATGGCACAAGCTGGACGTGCGGAGAGCGCTGTGTTTCTACGTGAAACGCACCTCGGCTTTCCGAAAGACTGAAGCATTATTTGTGTCCTTTCAACCAGCAACTATGGGAAAGAAGGTATCTCCTTCCACCATAGGCAGGTGGATCAGAGCCTGCATAGCGCAGGCCTACGTCTCACAGGATTTGCCAGCACCCACTCAGGTGACTGCTCACTCAACTCGGAGCGCAGCTACATCTGCGGCGTGGCTAACGCAAGCTCCGGTGGAAGAGATTTGCAGGGCCGCAACCTGGTCCTCACCTTCGGTTTTTATTCGACATTACCGTTTAGACTCCCTAGCAGCAGCAGACGCGGCTTTTGGCAGAAGAGTTCTTCAACAAGTCGTATCTGCTCAGAGTTCGGTAGCCTAGACATTCCCTCCCAGGGGGACATGAGGGCTTTGGTATGTCCCATCCATTTGGACTCTACAGCCATCCTGCTGGAGAAGGGGCGTTGTCTTACCTGAACGCCTTTTCTCAGCAGGATGATGTAGAGTCCAAGCCCACCCAGAGGATAGGTCTAGGCAGGGTTATAATAAAGATATAATAAAGAGCTGCAAGGTTAATTCCAACAAGTTTCTCGCCTAAGTCAAAACTGGGGTCACGCCCAAAGGAAGGGGTGTGGCCGAAGTTTTTACCCAGTCTGCCAGGCAGGAAGGCCGTCATAGAACCCCATCCATTCATTCATTTGGACTCTACATCATCCTGCTGAGAAAAGGCGTTCAGGTAAGACAACGCCCCGTCTAGTTTAACGAAGAGAAGGACAAGGGGGGACATGATAGCAGTATTCCAATATCTCAGGGGCTGCCATAAAGAAGAGGGAATTAAGCTATTTTCCAAAGCACCTGAAGGCAGGACAAGAAGCAACGGGTGGAAACTAATCAAGGAGAGAAGCAACCTAGAACTAAGGAGAAACTTCCTGACAGTGAGAACAATTAATCAGTGGAACAGCTTGCCTCCAGAAGCAGTAAATGCTCCAACACTGGAAGTTTTTAAGAAGAGACTGGACAGCCATTTGTCCGAAATGGTGTAGGGTTTCTGCCCGAGAGGGGGTTGGACTAGATGACCTCCAAGGTCCCTTCAACTTTACTATTATAATATTAATATAATATATATATATATATATATATATATATGATATATATATATATATAAATATATATATATATATAATAGAGTCTTGGTTGTTTGGGTTTTCTCCCACGTAAAATTGGAAGTGTCTTGGCGACGTTTCGACGAAGTCCCATTCGTCATCTTCAGGCTGGTGTTTTCAGCTTCGTTCAGCTGAAAACACCAGTCTGAAGATGACGAATGGGATTTCGTCAAAACGTCGCCAAGACACTTCCAATTTTACGCGGGAGAAAACCCGAACAACCAAAGACCTACGTACAAACAAACACCCGTGAAAATCTCAGAAAACACACACACACACACACACACACACATATAATATTTCTAATTATGTATCAATATATATGACTATAATACCTTTATAGAACGTTATTCTTAGGATTAACGTTGAAAAGTAAAATTACAAGTAGAGTTGTACCTTTCTTTATCCCACTTTTTATCTAGTACAATTTATAATACTCTAAACACCTCTTATATATATTTCTATAGCACTATACACGATGCATATACATATACTATTCTCTAAGTATTATCACCACTCTTAATTTCATTCACTATTACTCTTATTTGAATAATCACCTGTCTATATTTCTTTACAATACTATAATTACTTTCTCACTTCTATTTAGTTCAATTACACAATTATGCTTATTTCTATTTTGTTAATATAATTCATTTACTTCATTATTTTTAATATATTGCCTGATGCCCCTTTTCTACTTGTAGCTTAGTCACTGCTTGTATATGAGTGCTACAGTATTGCATCAGCCTTTATTTTTCTCTGTCTCAATTTAGTCTATCCACCGATCCACCAAATGTCACCTCTTCTTTCTTCTTCTATATATCCAATATTTCCAAAATGTCCACTCGTCACTTTACCCAGATATATGTCAGTTAAAGTCCAAATTTCAATGCACTTTGTTCTTCAAAAGTAGGTTCTACTAAGTAGTATTAAATTTCTCCGTTGTCTCACTTCACCTTTTAATCCTTATGTTAGTTTTTCAAAGTCCTTCTTAATCACCCTTTATTGCCTCCATCGGTGTAGTCTTGTTAGGTTGGAGATTCTTGCTTTTTTCATTGAGTTTCACAGTGGTAGAGTTGTTTCTAGATCCTTTACTTTTTCTTCTAATAATTCATATGATTTACATTTGATACATATATAGTTTGGGTCTTCTGTGGGCATAAGCTCAAATATATGACATAGTTTGCAAATCGCTATAATGTCAGTTTTTGTGTCCATGATTTTTTTGTTTGTTAAAAAATTAAAAATTTCTTCCCTGTTGCGGTGTCAGTTTACAATAATTTACAAAAGTTGTTGAATCTTTGTTATCTATCTTCAAAAATTCATCACTATCTTCTCTGTTTTTAGTATCTGTCTCTTTTTCCATGATTTTTTATTTTTTCTCTTAGATCATTAGGAATTTAAAATTTTAAAAATGTTCATAACTATTATTCCTATGAGCTTTAAATTTCCTTCATAAATAAAGGATTTTATGCTGTTGTCTAAGCTTTAACCTTGCATAGATCTTTCAATTCTTATTTGGCAATAAACTAAAACAATGAAATAATATGGTTTTAATAAACTGATATGGATTTGAAACAAATATTAGAATTGAAAAGCAGTAATTAGTAAATTGGAAAATTCTGAAAAAAGCTGTTTTTTCCACAAATACATTTATTTTTTTATGGATATATATAGATCTGTATGTTGTAAATTCCATGGCATTTACTCTCATTTAAGTGCTTAATTTGTTTCAGGCTTAAGAAATTGAATTGTCTTTTTCTACATAGTAAGCTAATTTTCTTTACCCAGACTTGTAATAAATATGTGCTTCATTAAATGTTTGTTTATGTTTAAATTTCAGAGTGTGGGTTTATAAATGATGAAATATTTGTGGAATTAGTCAATGCACTTGGTCAGTACAGTGATGATGAAGATGACGATGATGACGACAATGATGATGATGATGACAATCTTGATGGCAGAAATGAAAAACAGAACACTGCAGAGACCAACAGAATGGGTATATTAATAAGATTTAGAAATCTTTGTAGTATGCTGGCCTGACTAAACAAAGAACATCTGATAATCAAAATACAAACTTTCAGTTATGTAATGTCATGAGAAATACATTATCTAAAGCTGAATGTCAACTAGCACAACCTTTTGATTATTATATTACTGATGATTAATATTTCTGAAATATTAATCATGCACAATACAATGTTATGATTATTATTTTAAAACTAAAATAATGGAGAAGTCAATATATAACAATACTGAGGGATTAATGGCCAATAAAGATGGAGAAGCCAATATATAACAATACTGAGGGGTTAATGGCTGATCTCCAAAAGCTAACCAGGCCAGCTTGCCTAATACCTGGATGTAGTTTTTCCAAGAAATATCAGCTTGGTCTGATAAAACACATCTCAGGAAAAGGCATCCATATTGTTGCCAAGAAAACTATAGAGACATCACTAGATGACAATATGACTCCATGAAAGAAATTTACCAAATTAAATATATTCTCTGATGGATGTGTGCAGCAAAGACAAGCTGAAATAATGGGGGAGCGGTACTCTTGTAGCCAATACAAGAACAACATAATAGCAAATCTGATTGTTACAAAAACAAAGGACAGCTGGGAATAGTGCAGAAAGGGAGCTTAGCAGTAATAGTGAATTACTAATCCTTGAAATTTAGGTTGTGTACATGTTCCCACTTCCAGGTTAAATAAAATAATGCTAACTGTATTTAATTTAATAAATTAAATTAAATTTTACTTAATAACCCACAACTTCTTCTGGTAACTTTTTTATAAAATATTTTTTTTTAAAGAAAAATGTACTATTCTAAGACATCCTTTTCTAATGTTTAAAGTAGGGGAAAACAATGCTAATTTAGATTGGTTAATAAGAATGAATTAAGTCTCTAAAGAAACTCTAGTGAAACATTAAAAGAAACTTTATTTGACCTGAAAAAAATTTGGGATTATAACAGAATAACAGAGTTGGAAGAGATATTGGTAGTCTTTTAGTCCAAACTCCTCTTCAAGATTCCTATAGTTGTTTTAATAGTATTTAGTTATTATTTGACCACCAAGAGGCAGTATAGCTTAGTTTTATCTTTTTTGGGACTCATCATGAGCATGCAACTGTTATAATTAGTATGGATTTTATGAGATTCAGAAGTCCACTGGGAATTAAACTCTTAGTGCTTTATAAATTGCACCTAATTTTATAATCTATAATTGCCCTGATAGTCAAGGTTGGTGAGAAAGGAGATATATAAACTATTTATTTCTATGTTTTTTAATACATTATGCAACCTGCTGGCCAAGTAATATATAAAATCCATAGTAATGTATATTGAAATAGTTTCTGGGGTGCTGAAATCTTTAGTATGAGGGCATGCATAATAACTCTTCTGTTTCTTCCGGTTGAAAGTTTAAGTAAGGAAGATGTATACCCATCATATTGTTATTGTGAGGTCTTGCTCTAAGAATCTGTTTTTAGGAAATATGTAAAAACCATAGAAATAAAGAAGCTTTCCTGCCTATTCATATTTTATCTATTTGCTAAATTTATATAAGTTCCCTTAATGCTTACCAACAGAAAAGCAAACAATAGAATAAAATTAAAATAAAATCCAGCAATAGTTAGATGGTGACAGCAGTTCTTCTGCCAACTGGCACTTCCAGTTATTCCATCAGAAAAGTTCTGCTTTCATCAACTTCAGGAAGACTATGGCAGAAGGGAATAATAGAATAACAGAATTAGAAGAGACTTTAGAGGTTTTCTAATCCAACTCCTTGCTCAAACAAGAAACCCTATACCATTTCAGACAAATCTTTTTCCAGTCTCTTCTTAAAAACCTTCATTGTTGGAGTACCCATAACTTCTGGAGGCAAGCTGTTCCACTGTTTAATTGTTCTGTCAGGAAATTTCTACTTAGATCTAGGTTGGTTCTTTCCTTGATTAGTTTCCATCAATTGCTTCTTGTTTTGCTTTCAGATGCTTTGAAGAATAGGTTGACTCCTTCTTCTTTGTGGCAGCCTGTTAGATATTGGAACACTACTATCATGTCACCCCTTTTCATTAAACTAAACATACCCAATTCCTGCAACTGTTCTTCATATGTTTTAACATCCAGTCCCCTAGTCATCTTTGTTTGCTCTTCTCAGCACTCTTTCTGGAATTTCAACACCTTTTTTATACCATGGCGATTAAAATTGGATGCAATATTCCAAGTGCGGTATTACCAAGGCATTATAAAGTGGGACTAACACTTCATGTGATCGTGATTCTCTCCCTTTATTAATGCAGCCTAGAACTGTGTTGGCTTTTTTAGAAGTTGCAGCACACTGCTGGCTCATATTTAAGTGATTACGCACTAGGACTCAAAAGATCTTTTTTTACAGTTATTACTGTTGAGTCAAGTACCACATATTTTTTACCTGTGCATTTGGTTTTTCTTGCCTAAATGTAGATTACTTTTTTCATCACTGAATTTTGTTAGATAGGGCCCAGCATTCAAGTCTGTTGAGATACTTCTGTATTTTAAATTTATCTTATGGAGAGTGGGCTATACCTGCCAGCTTGGTGTAGTCTGAAAATTTGATGATTCCCCTATCTATTCTCTCATCTAAATCATTTATGAAGATATTGAGATTAATCTAACTTTCTAGAGCAGAAATCTTCATACTTTTTCAAGGCTATGTAAGTTATTTAAAACAAATTTTTAGAGCTCTAATCAAGAGGTAAAACTCTAGAAACAGAAAATTGATTGAATTCAAGCATTTTTTTAAAAAAAATACTCTTGTGGAAATCCATCAAATTCTCATGGAATCCTAAGGTTCCATAGAACATAGTTTTAAAGTTTTAAAATATAGGATACAGGTGCTGTTACTAAAAGCCTAATATTTCCTGTCCTCAGCCCTTCTCATTTCACGAAAATAAGGCACTATCAACACTTTTTTATGGTACAGAAATAATGGATGTTTCAATTTTGGTCAGAGAAGACAATCCTACAGATATTTAGGTACTAAACCAAAAGGTAAAAAGCACCAAATTGCTTTTGTGTTTATTAGATTGGACATGGTTTTCTGGCTTGGTACTCCAGTGGTATACCTCACAATTTAAACCATCTGTAGTCATTCTATATCCAGAATCCTCCCCCCCCCCATCTTTTCAACTTGCTCATCTTCTGCAATTGTTAAGCATCACAGGAAAGGCCATGACATAGGCATTTCTCACCCATTGAATTGGAGCCTTTTCCCTAAGTAATTAAAGCATGACCTGCTCAATTGGACTCAAACATCCAATTCTTTTTTTCATCCTTCATTATAGTTTGATGAGTCCTATGACTAAAGTCATTCAACAAATTCTAAAAATTCTATGGCTATACTATGAAATACTACCATCAAATAAAAGAACAAGAAAACCTTTGATTTCTGAACTTCACAATAGTGCACAACACGTTCTAATACTTTTATATATACATATATACATACATACATACGTAAAAATATGACTCTTGGGAATATCCATACTATTAAAACAGTGATCACCAAGAGAATGCTTTAAGAGAATAAAATTTAATTAATCAACCAAGATTTCATCAAAATACATTTGACATCATCAGGGTTAAAAGGAAGTATAGGGAGTAGACTTATATACCGTTATCAAGCGTCCCGTTATCAAGCATCTGCTTCCGGCTCTTAGAGCGCGTCATAGGCCCCAGCTGTTCAGAATGTAACTCCTTTAATACACATTCTTTTGTTCCTAGCTCGCATTCCCTCACACATCACTGGATCGGTAGCTTCGGGATTAAGTGGATTCAGGACCAGGGTCTTCCCTCCCCCATGTGCACCTACTCCATCACCCTGCATACGATTGCACTTAAGGGGTGAGGGTTGGGGGATTTTTGCATTTACTCCAGTATCCCCCTGAGTCACAAATTCACCTCGGTCCTGCCCATTCGTCCCTTGGGGATGCATTACAGATTCTTCTCCCCCCCACCCCATATACTCCTTTCTGTCTTCCTTCCCATGCACCATACTGAGGGGTCTGCTGTCCGTTCCAATCACTCTCCTCCCGCACATGCTCAAAGTGTTCTTTGCTGTCATCTCATTGGGAGCGCTCTGTTGTTCAATCCGTTGTCGGTGGGCGTCATCTTCCTTCACCCGCAACTCCTGATCATCACCTTTCTCAGGGCTCTTCTGCTTTGATCGTAGCTGTTGTTTAGTTACCAGACCTCGTGTCAAATGCACTGGAGGGGGGTGTCTTCTTTCATTTAGCCGTGACCGAGTCACCATTGCATGCTTAACAATCCCATTGGGGGGAGGGGGTAGCTCATCTTCATCACCTTCCTCCAACTCCACCATATCCCATCTACTCTTCGATCTCTCTAGTCCCAGGCTGTTATTCCGCATGCCAACCTTCCATCCTGAGGTGGGCTTGATTTCAATGGGTTGTGGCTGGTCCTGTGGGGGTTGTATGTTGGGGCCGATCTGTTGTTGGTCCGACGGCAGTTGCCTTTCTAGTAAGTGGGGAGTACCACCCAAGAGTCCGCTAACGTGGTGGGACGGGGGGGATTCCGAATCGCGTCCTTATTTCGGTCATACCGTTCGTAGTGAAGCTCCCTTTGGGTGTTAGTATGGTTACCCGCGCTCCACATTCTTAAGGCTTGATGTGCTGCATATAGATCCACTTGCCGGTTGATGGAATCAACTCCTGAATACCACGCTTCCTTCAACAGGCGGCCTCCCTTTGTAGCATCACTGTCCAAGACTTGGGTGTTCTCAAAATCTCGGCCGTGTGAGCCCAAATCTGCGAGTGTTGTTTGCCTTGTCTGATTGCCAAGTTATGTTCATGTAGGAGTGTTTTTAACCTCTTCGATGTCTCGCCTACATAATTACTCTGGCAATCCATACAATTTTTTTTTAATTGAAATTTTTATAAACTTTTTACAATAAAATCCCACCCCACCTCTCTCCCTCCCCCCTCCCATTAACCCCCC